TATCCATAAATATAAACACATCAGAGCATATATTTGCATTACAAAAATCCATAGATTCCCACAGTACATACTCCACGCAGTACTATTTACCAAATGCACTGCAATGGCAACCCGCTGCCGCCGCGCTGCCACCTACATACATATACATAGATGTATGAACAATAACAAATTATTCGCAGTACTTGAAAAGTAAGCGGGAATCCGCTATAGGTAACAACGCTGCTGGAATTTGTTGCAATCACCTTTTCAAACTCTCAAGTACCCGTACAATGGTCAAACACTCGAATGCACAGTAGGATTTTAGGGATTTTGCGTTAAGCGGCAAATAAAAAGGAACCTTTTTCTGTTTTATTGCAGTTGTTGTTGTTATTGTTGGTGTGTCTGTTTTTGTTGTCATCTTGCACTTTACATCTTTTCGCAGCAGCAACAGGTAAAAGTAACATTTTTATAGAATCTAACGGTCAAGCAGGATGAATGCGGTGTGTGTGACTCGAGCCATTTTAGCAGATCGCGACATGTATATACTTAGTGTGTGCGTGCATTTAGCCACCTACATATTTACTTACTTGCATACTTACATACATACATATATCTATCGTCCGTTGCAGCAGTTTATAGTTCTTACTGCAGATTTTGTGTTTTGCTTACTTTTTCTCTTTCTTTGTAAGCGTTGTTGAGCTGAGAGATGCTGGCTGTGGAAATAGCGTCCCTGTTCGCTGGCAAATATGCTTTGTAATAATTGTTATTTTTATTATTTATTGTTGTTGTGTGATTGTGCCAGAGAACAAGTGCATTGTCTGATTTTAGTGTTATTTCTATAAATGTATGTAAGTATGCATGTATGTATATGTGTATGAATTGTTGTACTTAACGAGATTCTGCAGAATGAATTTCAAGGTCATTTCGTTTAAAACAATTCAGTTACAGGTGTTCGAAGACTATAACCTTCATGGAAATCACAATTTTAGAGATCTCTGCGGTGTAGCCATCGAATCTTTCGAATCTATTAGACAGCATGTGAATACATACTAATTAATGCTTTATATGTATGTAGTAAGTGTAGCCACAATTTTAATTTTAATCAACTGGGTCTATTTTCGGGGTTATGGGTGAAAATTTGCTATCAAAAACTGTGTTGGTTATGTTGTGTTGTGTAGGAATGTAAAATATTTCAAATAAGTAAACATACCAATCGGAAAATTATTCATTTAGATACGCGCTTAAATATATATATATAATTATTTTTCAAAGGTGTGTTACCCACCACACGATATCTCACTTAATGTGCCATAAAATTTAATGATTGGGACCCCAATTCGAAACCAACGCTACGTTATATTTATAGCCGGTCCATATCTTCCATAATAATCCATCAAATTTAATAAACGAAACACTAATTTTAAATTAAATATTTATATATCTTAAGTAAATCATGGCAACGCCTTTAATGAGCGAAAGGTCCTTAAATGCTTAAAAAACAGGAGTAATAATTTTGAAAAGGGTTGCCAACAAGCCAGAAATTTTAAATTTAAAAATTGATATGAATGTTGCACCAACTGTACTATGCAGATTGATCATCGAATCGGATCATTATTGCCGGCAGCGTATGAAGAGGAAACAGTTCTTCAAAGTTATTCCGTTTGCCAACTAAATATATATCGATAATTGATATCGAAATATATCAGCGTTGTGCGATTAACCGTCCTATATAACGCTTTTGGTAGGTTATTTAAGACGGCAATGGAAGAAATGCCTACTGATGATCACAAAACTATGTATATGTAATCGGAGCAGATAAATGTGCCACTAGAAGTCGTGAACGTGAATTGTTCATAATAATTTGGATCAAAAAGATTTTAATAATAAAATTAATTTTGGGCGGCACGAAGTTCGCCAGGTCCGCTAGTATTTATTAAAAACTCTGTGATTACGTTCGATAGCACGTACAGTTACGTGATGGTGTGCTTTTGAAAAATCATGTTTAACCTATAAAAGTTTTGTTAAAATGGAGAAATGATACCTGCTTGATATTGCGATTGCCGACTTCAACATCAGCCATCAAAAGTAACTCGGTGTTTACATGCGGCTAATTAAAGGCAAATTTTAGTTGAAAGCAACACTCACCTGATGTGAACGGCCTTTCAACTAAGCGCTTCCAATTAAGTTGGCAGACAGCCCAACTTTGTTTCAACTAATCGCCTGTGAAGTTGCCTGTTAAATCGTCTCATGTAAACACCGCATAAATAACACTCGTAAAATTAAGTAATTCTTGTTTCTTGTGTTTTAAATGTGCACACATTTGTATACTCGAAATTTTTTTGGTTTTTAATCACATAGAAAATCGGGTAATATGCGCGATATATTTTTAGAAAAATTGTCTGAAAATGTATCGTAAACTTGTGCCATAGGGTTGGCCGTGGACATATATTTTCGTTCTGTAGTTCAATCGTTTTTGTAATTGATCGCGTTTTTATCACTTTAAGTATGTATTGTCGGGTCTTTTAGTTCGTTAACGGAAATACGAGAAAGTACGCTCGTTGCAATGTTTCATTTGCGTTTTATATACTCAATTGTAAAATTGTACTCTGACAGTTCTAGGCGTATTCTGGCCTGTAAGGAAGAGTCCTTCATGCTAAAAAGATAAACTAACGGTCGATGATCAGACTTAACCATAAAGTGAGTACCGTAAAAATATGGGCGAAATTGCTTGTTCGCAAAATATATAGCTAAAAGTTCAAGTTCGATAATCGGCTTATTCTGTTCTACTTTTTTGAAAGCTTTAGAAGCGAAACATATGTGTAAATCATTGCCTTTATATTTAGTTTTGATTAATATATAGCACTATTTAAAATTTTTAGTGCGCCGCACTCCGCAAAAGGTAGCATTTTGAAGAAAATCGATTCTCCTGTTCCAGTTAATAAATGTTGCATTATAAAAACAATTCAAAAGAAATGTTGGCAGTTCTAATAAATAGTAAGGAGTAAACAAATGTTGCACTTAACTGCGAGTTTTCAAAATGAGATGTGGAATTTGAATTAAAATTTTCCACGCTGCCCAAATAAAGTGGAGTTTTTAAAATAGGGGTTTTTATGATATTCGATGCTTGAGGAGTGACAAATAATGGTTTAGATTTGAAATGAATAAAAAAATTATTGATTTTTTTATTTTGGAACGAATTTCCTTCCGTATTCCCTTTACACTAAAATTTCCCAAAAAACATTTGAAAACATTTGTCAACACGAGTATGATGGAACCCTAAAGGCAAAAAAGGCGTAACCACAAAAAATGTTCACAAACCTAGATTTTTTTAATGAACCTTCATTTTGGGTTTTTAAACATTATTCCGAAAGTCCTCATCCCATCCCATCCCAGCTAGCGAAATTTGGAGCGCTCCAAATATGGAGTGAATTGGTGCTCACACAGCAACACCTCGAAAGAACACTTTCGGAATGCTCCGAGTAAAGAGTGAAAAGGGTTTCAAAGTATTTTCGTTATCTTGTTTTATTTTTTTATTCGATTAATATGCCGAAAAATAATAAATGAATTCCGAGAGTTTCTGGAAAGGGACACCGCAAAAAAGCGCTTGTCGTCAGTGCAGTTGCGAATGTACACATAAAAAATTACTTTATAACTTTTGAGCTCTCCAAACCCCAAAGTAATTTCTTAAAAAAAAAAGTATTTTATTTGTTTCATTATATTTCCATTTTAATTTGTTCTTTTACTGAATAGGATGTTAAATAATTTTCTTTAATTCATCGTTTTTTTTCAAAAAAAAAAATGATGAAAAAAATCTAATATTTTTTATTTGAAAATCAAATTGGGAGCATTTTGAGGGGCCGTAAAGCCTCCAGTTAGGCCAATTATCGGAGCACTCCCAAAACACTCCGTCGAGGTTATCTTCGGATGATTTAAGGAGTACGTTTCAAAAAATCATAGGCGAACAGGGTAGTCCGTACGGATTATTTGCGGATTATCTAAATAAGTTTTTCGGGACTCCGAAAACACTCATATGAGCACTCCTAAAAGCACCCTTTTTCGTATATATATATATTGATAAATCCCTTTTCTCCGACGGATATGCTCCTTTGCTACTCTTTTCGTAGCCTCCCTAGGAACGTCAGCACACCGCACAGGAAGTCCTAATTGTGCACCTTGCGGACTCCGCTGGTGGGTTGAGATGTGCTGCCAGAAACAAGGTAAGCTCGGTAGAATGTTTGGACTATTTTCAGTCTGCTGATTTCGAATATATCCTCAGTTTTTTTTCAATTGCCTCTGGTTTGCGAAGCATGCATATCTGCTCGAAATTGTTCATTAAAAAAGAGTACAGTTGCTTCAAAATGTATGTAAATATTCGCTCTATTCCAAGTACCTTCTGATTTAAGCAGTAATTGAGTACACATTTCTAATTGGCAGCAACTTACTTATACAAACTAAAAAAAAAAATAAAACAATCTTTGAAAAAAGAGTTTTTTTTCCAGATAAATATATTTGCTTACAAAAGTGCATCAACTTGCAGAGACAAAAGGAAAATTCAGAAGCCCAAAAATCGAATACTCTTAAAAGAACATATCCAAAAGGCCTTAATGTTGCACACAGTTACGAAATTGAAATTTTTCTCCGTGTATTGAAAATTCATTCATTATTAACATAACAATTTTTGCGATGCAATCACCTAATGAAGGTGACTAAAATTAATCATTCCTTCGTTTTTTTTGTCAGATTTTAAAACTGGATTAAAAAGGGTATGGGATAAAAAAAATATCTGAAAATTTTAACGAAAGGAGAGGAGGTTGTTTATTATCCAAACTGTGGCCTGTGCTCTATAGAACTACTTTCCATAATTGTCAATGTCATTAGGCTCAAATCGGTAGTTGGGAAACAAAATTGGAAGCACTGGATTTTTTTTTCGGTTTCGCGGCTTTCCTATTAGTAAATTCTCCACAGGTTAATTATAAATTTCCGAACATAAGCTTATAGTATAAAAAGTGTTTTTCACTCACCTATATGTGTAAAACTTCGCACCGTATTCGCTGATTTGGTCAATATACCCGGCCGTGGTATCATCACTGAATCCCATTCATAACCCATAATTTGTGCGTACAATTGTTTCATCGCTTCGGGTATAATGATTTTGGAACGATCGATTTTTGGTGGCCTCTTCATATTGAATAGCGACAATAGGCTATTCTCAATTTGGACTAGAGTCGATGGATCGGGTTTGAGTTTCTCACCGATGATCTCTTTATTACTGTAGGTGGCAGGTTCGTTGTCGCTATCGCTATCGCTATCACTTTCATCACTAACACTATCACTACTGGCGTCCAACTCTGCTGTGTCGCTAGAGGACATAGACGCTGTGGATGTGATGGAAGCAGCAGTTGCTGTGTGCGATGCGGGTTTAGAGAACTCTGTGCTACCACCATCAACTGATGATCGCGCTGAGTCTAGCGCTAACTTTTCAGCGGCTGCTTTGTGTGTAGTTGAGGAAGCGGCTTCTACCGCTGGCAATGTGAAACGCGCCTTCGGTGTTTCGGGTACTTTCATCGCTAGGCGCTCTTCCGCCGCTAGACGTTCTTCCGTCGCTGATGAAATTTTTTCTGTCACATTTTTCACTTCAGCGTGCGTTGTTTTATGAGGGTTTTGGAGGTGCTGTTGTTGCGTATCCTGATGCTGCCGATGATGATGATGATGATGGTGGTGTTGTTGGTGGTGGTGCTGATTACGTTCTTGCTGTTGGTGGTGTCGGTGGTGTTGGTGGTATTTTTTATGATGTCTATGTTGTTTGCTGCTACTGCTGCTGTGTTCTTCGTGCGCTTCTTGCGCCGTCGCAACTGTGTTTTCTTCAAACGCCATTTCACTAAGATCTTGCAACTCTTTTTCTTGTTCGTTTGCTTTTTCTACTTCTTCTTCTTCACTAATCACTGCACTACTTTCTTCGGTATTTTCTAATTGTTGCTTTGGCACTTTGTTCGCTTGCCTAGTTACTGCGCTATTTCTTTTAGTTGGATCTACCAAAGTATTTTTCGC